GGCAGATGGACGAAGTACACTGCTGACGGGAGCAGAGGGCGGGTCAGGAGAGGTCTGCCACGCCATGTGGATCTCCTCCAGGGCAGGCGGGAATCGAACTCATGCAGAAGTGGCTTTAGCTTCTTAGTGCTGTGCTTTAACCCGCTGAGCCACCAGGGAGGGCCCCAAACTTCTCTATTTTTTGACCAGCATTTTTGAATTTTAGCAGTATGACTGCACAACTACTCTAAGTAGGTCATTTTTTTCCTTTTAGCAGGTGTGATGAGAGAAAGGAAGGGACAGGTCTCCACTATGCCTTTTCAATGCACACGGTACAGCGTTCTTCCTACATCATAGTGACATGCGTTCAAACAGACCTGCACTATTCAGACTTAATGCTACAGTATAAGGACAGAAAACACGTTGGGTTTTTGCATTTTGAAATGTTTAAGTTATAACAACATTTACAATAACATTTGAGTCATTTCTGCAATTATAAATGACAGAAAAAGTTAGATTGAGGCTTAAATTTATGAAAGTTATAATATCTGGTTTCAGAATTTGGTTTCTTTCAATCATTTTATAATGGGACTGCCCCAAATTATCTGCTCTCCCTTGGCAACACTAATCAGACATTTTATATTTGGTAACACAGTGACTACTTTGATGGCTATAACAGTTATGGAGAAATGATAAAATTTCCCCAATCTTTACAACTGATGTGGAAAAATGCACAAAATGAAGAATGATGTAAAAAAAAAAAATTCCCAATCTGTTCATATGGGAGAATCAATGAAAAACTGCTAAAACATAATCAAAGCTTGGTGATGTTGATAAATTGTGAGGATTTGAAATGAGGGTTCAGGAAGAAAAAGTAAGGGAGAAGCCAGAGATCACCTCTTCCATTGCACCAATATGGTGGTAAAAGATGGGAGATGGGCCCTCCCTGGTGGCGCAGGAGGTTAAAGCACTGCACTAAGAAGCTAAAGCCGCTTCCGCATGAGTTCGATTCCCGCCTGCCCCGGAGGTGACCACATGGCGTGTCAGACCTCTCCTGACCCGCCTGCTGCTCCCCTCAGCAGTGTACTTCGTCGATCTTCGTCGATTTGCCTGTTCTGCTCCCCGCTCTGTACCTGGTGAATCCTCTCACCCTCCGCATCTCTGCCTGTACCCCAGTTCTGTATGAATAAGTAAATAAATCTTTAAAAAAAAAAAAGATAGGAGATGGAAGACTGGGTGCATCTGCCCCCAGACGAGCCAGGCAGTTGTGCCTTCCTGTATAAGCACAATAAGTCACTTGTTCAACAGTTAGCATACCTGGCTTCAGGTAGAAAATATGCACTTAAAAAAATATATAAACCATGGTTTATAGATCATTCTGCTTTAAAAACAAATTTTAAGATAATAATTGCAACAACAAATTTACTACAAGCCAGGCACTATTCCAGGTGTTTTAAAATATATTACACATTTTGTCATCTCAATAATAGGATATAATGGATAACACCCACATTTATTGATGACAAGTTACATGAGCACCATAACTTGCGCAAATTCATATGGTTAGTAAGTCAGGATCAGTACACATTTTCTATAGAGGGTGTGGTGGTGGGTATTTTAGACTTGGGCCTCCAGGTCTGGTGCTACTATCCAACCCAACTCTGTGGAGAGATACTAGTGCTACCCAACATCTAAAGAATGGTGTGTTTATATTCCAACAAAATTTTACTTGTGAGCATTGAAATTTGAGTTACACAGAGTTTGCCGTTGTGATGAAATATTAATCCTTTTTATTTTTTTCAGCTATTCAAAGACCTATTCTTAGGTCTCCAGCAGTATAAAAACAGAATGCAACTTGGTTTGGCTGTTGAGCTATAGTTTGCTGCAGTACATGGTAGAACAAGGATTTGAACACAGGCAGTACATCCAGCAAGTCTGTGATTTTATATATATATATATATAAAATATTATTACATTATATTATCTGATGTGTATATAATATTACTACATAATATTATACGATGGAGGAAAAGAATAGAAAACCTGAAGGAGACATCACAAGTTTAAAAGCTGACTCACGCAAGGAGGTGGGGGCAGAAGAAACTAAAATGACCATTAACCCAGGCATAGAGACCCCTCTATCAGACTGCTGTATCAGACTGCTGTAGGGAATATCAGAAGCACAAACCTGAGGGTAAAGATACAGGGATAGGGCCCACTGTGAGATTCCACATAGTTATCCAAAATCAGCAGCCAACAGGCCACCCCACAAAGGAGTGAGCTCCTCAAATGAAAAAAGGACTGTATCAGGGCAGTCTCTACACTGGCCTCTGCCCACCTGTGCCTACGCAGGTGCTTCTTTTCACCGGCTCTCTTCCTCTGAGGGCAGCAGCCTCCTGCCTGCCGTGACTGTTCTATGCCGGGGCTTCTCTGCACTGACCTCCCTCAGCTGAAGGCCTCTCCCCTAAGGCCGCCTGCCCTGAACCACACAGGTCTCTCTCTCTCTGCAAACATGTCCCTTTCGGGGCAGCTCTTCCTGACTGCTTGCACCTATGCAAGTGTCCTGTGCTCCTCTGTCCTTTTCCCTAATAAACCTGCTCTTTAAATATAACTGAGCCTCTGTCTCCTGGAAACGCACCTGGGGAACTTATCACATGCTGCCGAAAGGGGAGCTCTGGTGAAACCTTTCCCAGAGTGAACCCAAGGACCCCAAACTCCAAAAATGACATCATTATATGATACACATTATATTCCATAATAATATAATAGTATATATTATGCATACAATATACACACATACACATACATACATACATACCTACACACAGAGTATGTCATGATAATAGGAAACTATGATTGTTACAGAAATTCAGCTGAGTACAAAGGCAAAATAATAACCACACATAAAAATGCAACCCAAATATAACTACTAGTATTATTTGATATTTTCTTTCATTCTTTTATCCACTGCAAGCCATATTCAGTTTATTTTTGTTTTCTTTTAGCATAAGCATTATGCTTGTGCATAATACATAGATGATACAATTTCAATAACTGATAATGATTCATTTTAATATACCAGGAGCAATGGCTATTCTAAAAGAATCTTACAACCAATAACTTCATGCTTAATTTTATTAAGTGAGCAGCTGATAATCTTTCATTTATCTACTCATATTTGGGTCCTTTGGATTTTATTTTTAAGATATATTTATTTATGCTTACAGAACTGGGGTACAGGCCAGAGGTGTATTGGGTGAGAAGATTCACCAGAGACAGAGTGGGGAGCAGGACAGACAGATTGAAAAAGTACACTGCTGAGGGGAGCAGCGGGCTGGTCAGGAGCGGTCTGTTGTGCCATGTGGGCCAGCTCCCTGGCTGGGGATCAAACTAGTGCAGCAGTGGCTTGGTAGAGCATCATAATGTGGTGCTTTATCTGGTTGCACCACCAGGGAGAGCCCTGGAATTTTTTTAAAGCAACCTTATCTGCAGGGAGAGATGGAGTAGAAAGACTTTGTAATCCACCAGATCCGAATTTCACTTTTCATTGTGCCTTTCCCAGTCAAATGGCCTGAGGAAACCCACTTTCCCCACACCTCAGTTTCCACTTGTTACAAAAATAAACCATAACCACCAAATGCAAAGTAACAACCTCAGACCTGACACATAACAGGGCTGACAGACTCAGCCCCTATGTTCTCTGCACCCCTAATGGAGGAAGGAATGCATGGGGCGGCATCACAAGATTGATTAGCACAAAGGGGACAGGTAGAAGGGGATAGAGCAGCAATGGACACAAATCAAGGACTGCAGGTACCAAAGCCTGGATGCCTGGGTAGCTGGAAGTCAGTGGGAGGTCCCAGCAGATAACAGGCTGTTGGGGGCTGTGTCTGAAGCTCAGACCCAAAAGGTAAAAGATAAGGACTTGGAGAACTCACTAGAGAATCTCTGATCCTTTCAGATTCTATTCAAAGTCAAAAAAACTAGGCTCCCAAGGAGTGAGCCCCTCCCAGAGAGAAGCTGTCTATATCTGCACAGTGTCTCCACCAGCTTGGGGCAGCCATCCTCTGCCCACCTGTGCCCATGCAGGTGCTTCTTTCCACCCGCTCTCTCCCTCCGCAGGGCAGCAGCCTCCTGCTTGCCCATGACTGTACCATGCCGGGACTTCTCTGCACTGACCCCCCTCAGGGGAGGCCTTAACTTCTCTGCACTGACCCCCCTCAGGGGAGGCCGCTTTCCTAAGGCCGCCTGCCTGCAACCATGCAGCTCTCTCTCTCTGCAAACCTGTCTCTTCCAGAGCAGCTCTTCCTGCCCACTTGCGCCTATGCAAGTGTCTTTTCCTCTCCTGTCTCTTTCTAATAAATTTACTCTTTAAATCTAACTGAGTCTCTGTCTCATGGAGAATCTCGCCACGTGCGGCTGAAAGGGAGCTCTGGTGAAACCTTTCCCAGAGTGAACCCAAGGACCCCCAACTCCAAAAGACGACATCACCCCCACCACCCCCTGGTCCCTAATACCACTCACAGGAAATAGGTCATTTCCCTCATGCTTGTAGAGAAATGGTCCTTTTCTGTTCTGTGCTCCAAAAGAGTATTCTCCCTGGAGTGCAAATGGGCAAGGCCACCCTGGGGAACGGGAAGTATAATGAAGGGCAGGCTCCACCGGTCCTGCCCCTCCCACTTCACCCCAGCCAGATTACTAGGTTTCCACACTGGGCATTTCCCAGTGCAAGTGGCACTCAGGTATCAGCAGAGGCTGCTGCGTTCATTGTCACAGAGGACTTCGAGGCGAGACATCTGAGAATTCCAGCAGCAAAGAGTTCATGGAGCTGGAGCAGGTGCCGGCCTCCAGCGCCGAGGGCTACAGCAACACTGGCTTCCAGGTGAGCAGAAGTCTTGTCCCCGGTACAGATCAAGGAAACAGAATTAAGGTGCTTTGCTTGCCCCTTGGCAAGTGTGTTCACTAAAGGAGTGAGGTGTTAGTTACACACGAAGTTACAACACGATGTTTAAGGCCACTCTGGAAGCTTATTATTTTTCCTTTTTGGGTCTTGGGTTGACCAACCTGAAAAGCCTCTTTTAACCAAACTTGTTTTAATCCTGATTTACCCAGTCACTTAGGGAAAAACTTGCCTTTGCTTTTGTTTCTGACTTACACAGGGTACCTTATTTACTTGCAGTCATTTAGAAAACAAAAGCAAAAACTGGTGAGAGGGAAAGAATAAGGGGCATTCAGAGGGTCGTTAACACCTGTCTCATAAACTCCCACCACCCCCCCCCCAGCCCACCCCAGGGGAGCTGGCTTATGCAAAACAGGCTCTTATCTCCTATCAACCAAACTCCTTGGGTGATCAATGTGGCCTGGCTGGGTGCCAGAGGGCCCAGGGAGTCCTATCACTGGAAACACTAAGCTCTTTTCTCTGGGTCTGGGACCAGAAGCTCAGTGCTGTTCCCAGGTGATCTGACCCTGATGAGATGATCCTCCATATGGGAAGCCACCAGAGCAATGTCTGCAGCCCCTTGGGCTTCAAGGCCACTAAAAAACCAAAGTAAGCATTTAGGTCCTATACTTGCGGTAACATTGGCATAGACTTCTAACCCAGACACATTGGGTACCAAAAAAATCGGAGGTTGGAAGTAATTATGCAAAGCAGAGAGGAGAAAATTGTTTCTCCTTAACTTATTTATTAGTCAGATGGGGTCAAGAATCACACGAAGGCTATTGGAGTAGTTTTGCACAAAGTTCAAGATAAGGGTGACTGCAGTCACCCTTTTATCTAGATGCTTTCTTTTTTTCTGCAAATATATTAGAACAGAACAACACATGACAGCAATTGCTGTGTGAACGAAGCTAGAAAACTATTCTTCCTCAAGTCATTATGACCTACCTATACCTTCTTATTTCCAGGAGAAAAAAAAAAACGGATGACTAACCCAAGACACTTCCTTGACATCTCTGAGGGGAAGGATTTAGGGATTTAGTTTTTTCCTCATTTAAGCATTCCCAAAATCGTTCCCTTTAAAGAGAAAGCCTACTTACTAATCAGTTGGTAAGGCAGTGGAAAGGAAATCACTGATAATGTGGATAAATGTATCTATATTATTTAATAATATCAGCCCTCAGGAAAGATCTATACATATACATATGTGTGTATATAATATATATGCTGTATTGTATATAATGCAGTGTTATAAAATTATATGATACATATTTTATATAATAAATATATGTTCTAAAATTCCTTCTTAAATTTTTTCCTGAGGTAATATTGGTTTACAATATTGTATATGCAATTAATTGTTCTCATGTTTTTATTTCTGTAAGGTTGGTAACAATGGTTCACGTTCCTTCCTGATTTTAGTTATTTGTGTTTGCTCTTTTTGTCAGTTTAGCTAGATTTTCAATTGTTCATGTCAAAGAATCAATTTTTCATTACATTAATTTTGTTTTTCTAGTCTGTATTTCATTTATCTCTACTCTAATCTTCATTTTCTTTCTGTTAGCTTTAGCTTCATTTGCTCTTTTATAGTTTTTTACAGTAGAAGATTCTGTTATTGATCTATACTTTTAAAGAAGATTGTCCTTCAAAAATGTAACGATTCCAATCATAAATTTCCTTCTTAGCACTGCTTTAACTTCATACATTGTAGTATGTTATGTTTTTACCATTTTTCCCCTAGAAATCATTCACAGAGAGTATGTAGGTTTTGATCTTTAACAACTTTAAGTTGATACATCCAAGTTTGACTTGCTATCTAATAAATTTATAGGTATAAAATTAGGCCTCTAACAGGAAGATTACTGCCCTCCAACAACTTTTTGTTAAGTAACAGAGTGGTCACATCCTTCCTATTCTTGTCCCACTCTGTCCCAACTCTCAACTCCCTCACCAGATCTTTAGGGTAATGGATAGAGACAAGGAAATGAAGGTCACAGTCAAGTACAAAACACTATAAATGGTACAGGGAATCCAGGGTGGGAGGGAAAGTGAAGAATAGGTGGTTAGGAGTTCTAAGAGCTTCCCAGAAAAAAAGAAGATCCTGGAATTTGGGGAGGGGGTTGGTTTTTTGAGGGGGAAATGTTAGGGGGACAGGGAGAGAACCAAACTGTCACAGATTTAAAATAAAAAAATCAAAAAATTAAACCAAAGAGAGAGTGAATGGAATCCCATCACCCCCACTGGCCCTTTGGTAGTATAATCAGTTGTCTCACTCCCCTACCCCAAACCAGGGACATTAAAAAATAAAGCAAAAAAAAAAAAAAAGTAACTCTACTTCCTACCTTAAACCAGTGAACAAAATAAACTTCCCACAATAAACTTCCTACAATCCTCCCCTCCCCGCCCCACACACACAGAAAAAGGATTTGGGAAGGGAAAGGACATTTCTGCTGAACCCTATGCACATCTCCGGAGCTCACCTTGGGCCTGGCACTCTATGGCCTCATTCCAGTTTTGTCCTCCTGTGCTTTTTCCTTTTATCTAAAGTAAAATGTCCACAGTGAGTCTTGCTGCATGTAAGGTCCTGGGACAGGAAAGGGCTGCCCAGGAAGGATGGGAGCTGGGGGGCCTGCACCGCGCCTGGTCTGACACCTGTGAAGCGCTGGAGACTCCAGTCTGCATCCCAGATTCTTGCAGGCTCAGGTGATGATGCGGCTGGCACAGGTGCTGTATGAGGACCCTGTGGCTGTGGAACAGCTCGTGTGCAGGCTGTCCCCAGCGTCCCCATCGGCTGCTGCTTGTTCTTCATAACCATGGCCTTTAATTCAACTTTATTTTTTATCAAATTATTTTCTACTTATCCTGTGAGCTCTTTTAGTTTATGGGTTATTTAGGAATGTGTTTCTTCTTGTTTCACCTATTTTGTAGCTTTCCCAAGCTTTCTTCTATTCATATCTAATTCTAATTCATTACAGTTGAAAAGATACTTATGTGATTCAGATCACTTTAATCGTATTGGATGTGTATTATACTGTTGCTGGGGAAGTGTTCTGCATATCTTTTATGTTAGTTAGTTCTTTTGATGAATTGACCCTTTTGTCAATATATAATGTTCTTTGTCTATAGTAACAATTTTGTCTTAAAATCTATTTTGTCCAATATTAAAACTACTCTGACTCTCTATGATTATTATTGATATGAGAAAATTCCCATTCTTTACTTTCAGCCTACTTAGGAATCTCTTCTATATAGCAGATACATAGTTAATACTTTAATCTATTCCACCCCCTCTGCCTTGCAAGTGAAGGATATAATAGTTACATTTAGAGGTAAATTAAGATTTGCATCTGCTATTTTGTAATTTTTTAAAAATATCTCATGTCTTCCCCCCTTAATTACTCCATTTCCTTCTTCTTTTATGGTAAAAAAAAAAATGCATCTTACATCCTAGTGTAGCCGTTTAGTTATTTTGTAAATTTTTTTCCATTTTTATTTATTTTTACATCATTGATCTTTTTTGTACATTTGATTTCTCCTCTCAGATGTTGTCCTCATAGTACTACCACCACCAAGATACCTGTGAACCATCACCATAGTATTTTATCATTTATTTAGTATGCTCTTTAAGTTGTTTTCTTAGGAGGGTGTCCTAGGGATTACATTAACATCATAATTTATAAATATCTAGTTAGGAATAATCCCAATTTGATTTCAGGAATATACAGAAGTAGTATAGTCTCATACCTTTCTCCTGCCATTATACTATTAGTACCACATAAATACATTGTACATTAAAGCCCATCATCACATTTCTATACTTATTGCTTTATGCAACTGTTTTCTAAATGAAATAGAAGAAAACCTGTGACCAAAAATACATTCTGTTTACTTTTGTAGTCATATTTATTGGTGCTCTTCATTTCTTCCTGTGGCTTTGAGCTATTGTAAATGTCCTTTCATCTCAGCTTGAAAGACTACTGTAGTCACTGAAGTCACTTTTTGTTTACATGGCAATGTCTTTTCTTGATTTTGGAGAATATTTTTGCTAATTAAAGAAGGGGTTTCATTTCATCACTCTGAATAGGCTGAATATGTATGTCATCTCACTGCCTCCTGGCCTCCATAATTTCTGATGAGAAATCAGTTGTTAATCTTATTGAGGATTCCTTGTGAGTTCCTTCTTGCTGGTTTTAAGATTCTTGTTTTGTCCATGACTCTTTAAAGTTTGAGTATAATGTCTTTAGCTGTGGTTCTCTTTATGTTTGTTCTATTTTGAATGCATTAAGCCTCTAAGATGTGTAGATTAATGCTTTTCATTAATGAATTGGCATGTTTTCAAATGGTATTTCTTAAAGTACTCTTTTGCTCCTTTCTCTCCTTCTGGGACTACCACTAAGTATGTGTTGATATAATTAACGGTGCCCCACAGGTCTCTGAGGCTCAAAATCTCTTTATTAATATTCTTTATTTAATGAGACATTATTCTCATATTTTCATTTATTTCTTTGTATAAGATTTCCTTTGACTTTTTGAACATATTTTAAATAAAGTTTTTTTTTTTAACAATTCCAACATCTAAGTTTTCTCTTGGATAGTTAGTTTCTCTTGACTGATTTTATCTTCTGCATATTCCTAGGATATTTTGCTGAAAACTGCATATATTTTTTAAATGTCATATGGAACAGCAACTCTGAAAAACAGCCATCTCTTTCCTTTCTCTGGGTCTTTTTTTCTGTTTGTAGTTTTATTATTATTTGTGTGTTTAGTGACTTAACTGAATTAATTCTATATAACTTGTATTTCTTGCCATATGTGGCCACTAAATATCTTTATTTATTTTAATGATTAGCTAATGATATGACATTAATTTCCCAGGGCTCTGGAACTAATTAATCTCCAATATTTGCTGGATTTTCTGTATGCATGCTACAGGGTTAGCCTTC